GCTTAAACGACTCAGCGTCAATTGTTTTAATAGTATACAACAATATCAAATTGCACAGTCTTCAAGATCGTCTTTTCCAACAGTTGTGTGACGCGAACAGTAAAGATTTCCAGGTTAATCCCTTAGGTATAGTGGTTAGATGGCTCTTTAGGGGCGACTGTCTTCGCCGTTTTCTTGCACTCTTGGTCATCATCGGGACATATATTTCTGGAATTGATTATGAAAGAAAACTGTTAACGGCAAAGCCAGATGTCTTTTGTCTGCCTGATGTTTAAAAAGCTCGACTTATTCGATAAAACTTCAAAGATGAGTGATCTCATCTGCAGCAAAGATGCCATTATCGCTTTTCTTAAAATGCTGGAAACGTGTGCTCAAAACATCGGACTTCGGGAATTCCCTGTTCTCGCTACAGTCACGGTGAAGCTAAAGAGTGAAAACTTGATTGTTTATGTCAGTCATTTACAATAACTCGGAAAAGAAATGAAAGATGGGTTTCATGACCTGATTGATATAGGAATCCAGATTTGGATTTTAGATCCATTTGACCTATAGCGCTACAATGTTGGAGTTAAAAAAAACAGGGAATTCTTATAAAGCTACATATTGACACGCTAGCAAGATCCAAAATCACACATTATAAGAGGAAATCTGTATAAACACTGATTCCCCCAGACTGTGGTAAATGTCTGAAATCTATTTCCTTGATTGAACGTGGATTCAGCAGAGTGGTTTTTCTAACAAAAAGGTAGACACTGACTGGACATCATAGCGAGAGGAGACATGCAACGCTTGCTGTCAAGTCTGGGGCTTGATGTACTTAAGCTTGCTCAAGGATATCGTGTTTAAGGCTTGCATTTATATTTCGTCAAAGATGTTGTTAGTAAGTTACTACACCTCAGAATTCATGGCACGTCTTACCCTTAAAAACCAACAATAATTAAACCATTTAAATATTGTTGGTGACTTTTTGTAATTACAGACAAGTGGCTTGTTGTTGCCGCACAATGAATGTGATCTTGAGGCTGTGAAAGTTAGGAAGGTTTATGTGGGAAACAGAAGTGATGCCAACATTAGCAATTTGACCATCATAAAAAAGATACCAATATGATCACTGGAAATCACAGAGTCATGTCTGTTATGCATTGCGAATTGCTGAAATTATGGTGTTCAGGGGTGGGGAGACCATGGGAAATGGACGGGTTCAAAATGATGCTACGGTTGTATAAGGGTTGAGAATGTCTCATTTAAGCCTTCAGTAAAAGATAATGGTGATAACAGCGGTTAAATTTTCTCGCTTGTGCTCGAAACTGTCCTACTGGAGCAGATCACCAGGGTGGATTTCACAAGGGATACTTATGTGTACGGTTATTTTGATCCATATATGTTTCTGATGCTATACTAATCTGTTGGGATTGTAGTTGTGCATAACATTGCGATACAGTCTCGAATTTCGATGTGGGCTTAGTTCGTATTCTGCATGCCCCTGTGAATGGAGCATTTCTGTAGATTACATGTTCATTATACATCTGGAGAACTGAAGCATTGGTGGGCGTAGGTAGGTATGGGATTTTGCTTCTGGACTCCAGCACTACCAATTGAGAGCTGGTTTGCTGGGGCAGACTTTTCGCTGGTATCAACATTTCACATAATACGGCAGTTATACGCTGCAGTCAGGAGTGCGGACTCGCTTCTACAACTGTGTCTCAGAGATCCGATAAACCGCAGTGTATTGGCACTTTTTGTAACGCAACCTAAGTGTCGTGAAGCTTGCTGTGAGAACCCAAGAGATTCGAAGTTTTGTAGCACCATACATTCACTTTTTACCTTTCTTCTAATTACCAATATATCCACTCATCTGCGAACGTTTTCCTTGGGGTTCCAGGGCTCTCTCTTGTTTGAAACCCTGTCATGCGGGGCTTCCGTATTTCTTTTTAGCACACTTGTGTTCTGACCAGTTTTGACTCATGAACGTCCGGTTCGCCCATTACCCTTATACAACCGACTCGGCGCAGTAGTATCCACCATTGATTTCAAATGGGGCGGTCGAATACAATTATATGTAGATTAGCGATCTATACAACAAACTAAGCAAACTGCTACTAGGTATGCAGTAACTTCTGGCCACAAGTAAACTTTGTCTGAGATGGGTAGACCAGTTTCATTGGGTTTGGAATGCCAAGCCGGGTTTGCCGTGCGACACTTTAGTTGTTGTACCCTAACCGTTATGACAAGCGTTGCTTCTGGAGCGCAACTGTGCAATGAGTCAAGCGTTTGCTTCTAGTCGCTACGTCTAGGATTCCAGCGCCAACCCATCTATTTTCGTCTGATCAACGCGCGCATTTTTTTGAATGAAGCAGCGAGGGCAAGTAACACTTGCCATCTATCTGTCTCATTGATCTGAATATCTTAGATCTCCTTCATAGGAAGTCGCGGACAAAATTAGGTACGTGTTTCCTATTCCATGCAGCACTGCATACTGCTTGAGCCGTTGGTGACTTGCTTCGCGATGCTCGAATCGGTACCCAGCAATTCCAATATCCCAGGCTCCACAGTTGAAGCAGTAGGTTTTTCGACCTATGTGGTAAACGACACGCCGGGGTCGTTAGATGATCACACGTATATCAAGGGGACTGGCCGTCAGCAATTTGGGATTAAAAATCAGTGGTCATCAAGTCAAGAAAGTGCTTTACGGACCGAGAACAGATTAACCTTTAGCTGTATCACACCCGTTTTCGGCCAGGTAGCAAAAGAAACCAGACTAGATATTATCTAGTATATGGCTAACACAACACTCTCATAGTTTAAATTGATTAGTTACTTCTCAGACGACCACTTTATGGTGCATTAGAAGTCGCACTTCATGATGAATAACGATGGGCTGATGTTCTGTGTATATATATTTGTACTTCTGTCTAATTGATTGGGTTGACACACATTCCTGTACTACGTTATGCATGTGGTAACTTATATCAGTAGGCATCGTCGACGCTAGTTTCTTGCAAGCACTAACATGATTGAACACAAGTACATCAACAATAGTCTGGTTTGACACACCACTGCATCGGGACAAATGTTATAAGGACTTAACTATCCATCTGAAATGCTTACCCAGTCGACCAGCAAGCCAGCAGCGAGCAGCACGTTCCGAGTGGAAGAATTGCACAAGACGAAAAATCGGCTAGTAAGGGACAAATGGAAATCGCAGCCGTGAGACTTAGACCAATAATCTTCTGACTTGTGAACCTTTTATTCATATGATATGATCAGCTAAATCGTAGTTAAGTGTGACACCTAAATCTTTTACTTATATCCAGGAGTGCAACCCCTATCTATCGAGAGCGCTGTTTGAAGAATAGTTGCTACCAATTTCTATGCAGTTAATAAATGATATTGCTTTAAGGGACAATTCGCGGGCTTTCTACCAAGCTGTGAGATCCTTATGGATATTCCGTAATCTAACTGAGAAGGCAGTTTCGATAGACTGATGCCCAATACCTAGTCATCTGCCTACCTCTGTAGGGTCGTTTTCTCAGGCGTTGGTATTGAGCTAACTTAAGGGGAAGGTAGAAGTGGTGACAGAATAGGTTCCTGAAGAAAGCTGATGTTTGTGTTTAGGGGTGATGAGCATTTGCCTCCAAAGTGGATAACTTGTGTGCGACTGGCAAATTAGTCCCTCGGCATGAGGGATATATGTCCTAGCAGAGAGTAGATCCGCCAACAGCAATTCACGGTTTACGAAGCTAAACGCGTTGCTTTATTCTATTCTCCGGCGGTGACAGAACCGGATGCACGAGACAAGTCAGTGCGTCTTGTGCTGACCTCGAACTGTAAATCGCAAACTGAAAGCGATCGTTTGACCACATTTGTGTCAGTGTCTCCTCAAGAATAAATTTTTCGAACACTTATACGTATATCGAATTGCGAGGAATCGGTGGATGTCTGCTTAATCCCTTTAGTCGTACTGGTATTTCTCGAGTAGTCAGTGGTTTCTCGTCTCACTAATAATGTCTGTAAAGTAGCCAGAGGTTTGGTCAAGAAGCTAGCACATTGTAGTGCAACAGAAAACATGTTCTTTCAATATCTTGTAACATTGGATTTTATGGTTGTTTTAATCTTCGAAACGTCCATATGTCTTACTGACTGCACGTCCGTTGTCACGAACCGTTTTGGTGAGTTCCTCGCTGCACTTTTCTCGCTCTGTCTGATTCACTTCCTATTCTTGTAGCCTGCATATTACACGTTGGGTTCAGTCTCCTCCGACTTCTATACTGTCGTATTTGACATGTCTTACGTGGCATTGCTTACCGACTAGTATCCCAGGTCCGCCCAAAAATTGGTGACCCCGACGTGACCCGAACACGCAACATTTTGCGTTCTGCAAATTTTTAGGCTGCCGCCGCATTCATACCACAGCCTATCACCCAGCAGCCAACGGGTTAGTTGAACGTTTCCATAGACAGCTTAAAGCCTCTCTCTGCGCCTCCTCCGACCCTAGCTGGAGCGAAAACCTTTCGCTCGCACTCTTAGGCATTCGCAGCAGCATCAAAGCTGACTTGCAATGTGCACCAGCAGAGCTGGTTTACGGCACGACGCTAAAGTTACCAGGAGAATTCGTTTCACCTCCCGCATCTCCGGGCATGCCTCCGCCTAACTTTGCGTCCTCCCTAGCTCAGCGCATGCGTTCACTACGCCCGACCCCGCCCCGTGAACAGACTAGAGATGTGCAAATGCATAGCGGACCCTCTACCTGCACTCACGTGTTCCTCCGCACCGACGCAGTGCGGCGCCCTCTCCAGCCTCGCTACACTGGCCCTTACAGAGTACTAGAACGGACTCCGAAACATTTTACTATAGACCAGAGTGGTCACCGAACAACGGTGTCCATCGACCGCCTCAAGGTGCCTTTCTTTGACGAGCCACTTGCAGCCCATTCTGATGCTCTCTCACAAGCACCCGCACCTGTGGTGACTTCCCGAGCACTGGATAACCCGGAACCCTCCGTACCCCTTGACCCGCAACCTATCCCGCCGCAACCCCAGGCAACCGACCGACGCGGTAGACAGGTCAAACGTCCGGTCCGTTTTTCCGATTTTGTAAGCGTTTGCTATTTCCATTAACACGCCTTTTTCGTCTTTAATGGTTATCCTGCGTCTCACCCACAAACGTTTTGCAAAATCGACAAAAAAAACCCAAAACATTTTGAAAACCTAAAAAGCGTATTTGCTTTTATCATACATGCCATGTTCCCTCTCCGGCGTCAAGCCACTTCCCCGACCCTTGCCAACCCCCTCTGAGTTTTACTTTCCAGAAACTCAACCGCCGGAACTGCCCAGGCAACCCTCGAGTGACTCGCCAACCGGCTCAACGCAACCCTGGAGTGACTCGCCAGCCGTCCCAAAGCCCCCTTCCTCATCCAAGGAACAGACAGTCGCCCTCGACCGCAGACACCCACGAACGGATTGGTCCCAAAACGCCGCCCAGGCATTGCCGACGAAGACGCCGGATTCCTTCGTGGGGCGAGGACGCCCGCATACCTTCGTGGGACGAGGACGCCCGGATTTCTCCGTGGGACGAGGACGCCTGGATTTCTTCGTGGGACGAGGACCGTGGACTAAAGTGCGGTGGGGGAGTGACACCTCCCAAGCGCACCGTCGGGTCTGCAGCAAAGGGAAGGTCCTGTCGGCCTTTTTTCTGGACTAGCCAGTTTTTTTGCAGTCCGACCAGCCCGCCCCGACGGCCCACCGATGATGCACTCTGGTCCACACGATCGGCATAAATAATAACTAACAAAGGCTGGACCCAGCGAAATCTGCTACACAACCCACTTTGGAAACTCTTACTCAAACCTCTGCAAATATTCACATCCCCCTCACCTTCCATTTTCCCCCACTAACAGCTCTATCGAAGGCTTCCATCCTTCAGCCTTCTAGGGGGAGGCCCTTGTAGTGCAACAGAAAACATGCTCTTTCAGTATCTTGTAACATTGGATTTTATGGTTGTTTTAACCTTCGAAACGTCCATTTGTTTTACTGACTGCACGTCCGTTGTCACAAACCGTTTTGGTGAGTTCCTCGCTGCACGTTTCTCGCTCTGTCTGATTCGCTTCCTATTCTTGTAGCCTGCACAATACACGTTGGGTTCAGTCTCCTCCGACTTCTATACTGTCGTATTTGACACGTCTTACGTGTCATTGCTTACTGACTAGTATCCCAGGTTCCGCCCAACAACATTCCTTGAGGGACAACAGGAATGGGTCTGTCCGGGCGGGTTTAGTAGATTAAAAAGGGTGAGTTCAGTCATACTTCCGTACAGTCCCAGTCTAGTTTAATAATAATAATTATAATAATAGGATTAAGAATACGTATATTTCTCTTGATGAGAGAAGCTGTGTGTATAGCGGCACAGATCAGTTTGTACAGAAGAATCCATGCTCTTGCATGGGTGACATGCATAGATGGAGTATAGAAATATGCGTTTCCTGTATTAAAATTCTTGTGCATGGTTGAGACCAAAGCCTAGTTATGAAAACCTTGGTGTTTATATCATTTTGCGTCCGTCTTAGAATAGCTCATCGATGGACTTTTCCCATGTGAATATAGGGCTTAGGATGATTAGGTCGAGGTAATTGGCGAGTCTGCTACTAAATGTTTTCACCTGACTTGAGTGTTATTGGTAGTTAATTCCACAGATAGCTGTATCTGCCCAGGAAGAAATAAGAGCGGACGTCCGTTCTAGTCTTCAGTATATTCAATCTAAAATCGTTGTTACGAAGCGCTCGAATTGAGCAAGGTTGTAAATTGAGTGTAGGCAGTTGGAGTAGTTCTTTTTGTGTAACAAATTGAAAAGCAGCAACAAGTTGTGCTTCTCTCGTCGCATCCAAGCTGGTTCGAGATGAAGCTCATTGCAATCTTCTCGATAACTCATGGCAGAGCTTTTATCAATCAGCTGTTTAGTAAATGACCTCTGCAGGTTCTCCCCAGCAATTCTGTCACTCTTTCTCATATTTCCGTCTGTTATGCTGCAGTATTCGATGATGGGGCGAGTGAGTAGCTTGAAAAGCTCAACCCTGGCACGAGTTGCGTATGTTTTGTTTGATATATTGAACATAGACGGTCTGGCACGTTTTACTTGGTATTGGGCAGAGATGGCGTTTCGGAAGGGCGCTAAAACAGATGATATGGATGTAGAAAAGATATTCTGCCAGTGGAAGGAGCATTAAGAGGCAAATAACAAGAAGTTGAATCCCGTATCATAAAAGGAACAACAGGAAAATTGAAATAGCGATGCGGATAAAAGTATTGATGGAGAAAGAGATCTGGGTACTATCTTGCTACCACCTCATTGTTAGCACATTGATCTCATATATCACAGGTAATGGCACCGTCAGAGTAACAGTATTTAAGTAACAGTGTTGTGAAAGGTGACGGAAGTGGTCGTCAGAAAAGACTGTTACTTAATCTATAGGGGAATAACTATGCCAAGTACTGAGTGATTGGAGTGAACATGGGAAGACGAAAAAATTTGTTTTGGACATTGCCAAGGTGCACAAAAGGATCTCATGCCACGCGCTTTACATGCATTCTCCTGCCGTCTACGCATCCGTTTTACATGAACAGCAAATATCAAAATGAAGTTCCGGCAGCTTACTAACTTATGGCAACTCGAGATTTGTCCTAGAATCGACGACAGGACAGCTTGGCTGTCGAGTGATTAGAGCTCGCAAGTGGCGCTCCACTACAGACGGAGAACGTCTTTACGTCGTTATCAACTGACAACTCTTGCATCATGCTCGACTAGTGGAGCAGTTTGCCATGTTCCGAACCATAGACTGGCTAAATACTTAGTTCTAAATGGGTTAAAATCACCAGCATGAACATTTAGGGAAAAGCAGTTGTATTCCATGACAGACGCATTAAGATCGCGTAAAATGCCTCTATTACGGATCCGAAATATTTGGAGGCATATTTATGTTAACCAGTATTATTGACCGCTGCCCGCCCATACATATTGGTCTCTCTTAAAGACTAAATGAATAATGCATTACAAAATAAGCTAAACCTAATTCTCCCTGACATGTAACAAAAAGCATCTGGGTAACATGTAACTTCAACTCCACGGTTTCGGTGGGGGTAAGGGCAGTCGACTCGATAACTCTTGAACTCTGCTGCCTACACAACTGCATAATCCACCTGTTCCGAAACAAGATCTCTCTTGTAGTAAAACGATACCTACTAGCGAGTACTCTCTAGGGCTGACGCTACTCGTTAACTCCTCCACTGCCCCCGGAAGCGAAAAAGTGTTTGGGGTACCTAAAGTGGGTAAACTTATGCTTCAATTTCTTCCTTCCAACCAACGAGGTGTTTACTGTGCGGTTATTGTGCTTCTGGTAACTTATTTGCAACTATTTTTGTACGTGACTGATTGCAATTATACTGTGTAATGCGTTTGAGGCTATCGTGTTCAACGCTTACGTGGCTCGTAATAAAACGGCTGAAATGCAAAGCATACTTCATAAACGGAAGAGCATTTTCATCAGAACCAACTAGTAAGAGAGGGAGCTGGATGGAAGACGCGTCTGACTAACATCTATCATCAATTGAATGCCGTTGTTGTAGCTGCCCATGGAGGACCCAGTCTGATGCGATTTTTATTGTTATTCAACCCTTAACCAAAATACAATTGACAGTGCCACAACACATAACTAACAACAACAAAAAGAGGAAAACTGGTAGTCACTGGAAGGGCTAAGAAGATTTAATAGGTCCATGCCTTGTGTGGGCAGAGATCGCGGTTGCGTAGACCGTGGAAGAGTTGACATAAGGAACCCCATCCCGAGCCTTTGCTCATAACGACCTACCCACAACGTAGCGGGGAGATTAACGAAGTCCATTAACAACCGGGTAGCTCAACCACCATCTTTGTGTTCAGTAGCACTCCACAGATTATCCGATGTCTAAAAAGTTGTTCATCCGCCCTTCGTTACTTTCTAACCTCCAGTTACAGAAGCAAGTGGTCAATGGCCCTATACCCGGTCACGTTGGCTTTGACACAACGCGGTAGGAGGTCCTGTGGTTAGCAATAAAGCGAAATACCTGTAGTTCGGGTTGTCTGTTCAGATTTATGTTTGTTCTCCTAGCCGATCTATTTCGTTGCAGACGTTTCAACTCCAATCCACATTCGTGGGGTGGCCATGAGCAGTCGCGTACGACTTTATTTGGGTTGCAACGCACCTCTTCTTCCGCGACAAGGTGTCCCAGATAGGCCACTTGTCTCTGAAATAACTGGCATCTAGAGGGCTGCAGTTTTAACCCAAGCCGCATAAGACGATGCAAGACGAGCTTTAGGCTTTTTTATGTTCTGCTGTTCTGCCATGGACAATAATGTTGTCCATAGAGACTAGGCAATGGTATGGTATGAGCTCGGTCAACGCGGTGTGCATAAGACGCTAAAAGGTGGCTGGTGCGTTAGTTTGCTAGAAGATCATTGTCCGGAATTCGTATATACCTTATGGTATCATAAAAGCAGATTTATACCGGTCATCCAGATGCAGTTCGACCTACCGGTGCTCTGAGGGTAGGTCGAGGGTAGTGAACCAGCGGGGTCGGAAGAGAGCTTTGGTGATGTCATCCATCTTCGGCGGACGGAAGGACTCCTTCCGCGTACCCGAGTTTATTTTCCGATAATACACCCAATGGCGAAGATCGCCGGTTTTCTTTATGCGTATAACAATATGAGGCGTTCAGGGTGATTTGGACGGTCGAATAATATCATGCTGGATCATGTGGTCTATGATACTCTTTAATTCCTTCTTGATTTGAAGCGATATACGACGTAGCAGCTGTCGGACAGGTGGCGTCTTGCCTTTCTTAGTGCGGTGATGTATGAAAGTGCGCCGTTTGAAGTCGTCGGACCAAGAGAACGCGTGTTTGTACTTGGTTCTGACACCTATTATCGCGTCAGTAGTGTGGCTTAGCAGTACGCTGGGTGACGACGATGCAGACTTGTAATGAAATCTTGTTGGAGGTGCATGATAGCACCTGGCAGTCGGTAGGTGCGAGAGGAATCGCTTGTTCTCCAAGTAGTAAGATCTAATTTGCCTGATTAATGCTAGCGGCCCGTGGGGCGAGAAAGTCTACCTAATATCACTTGCAAGGGTACTATGTCCATTTTGAATTACCGTTAGCTAATGGAGAGGACACCTAGCTGTACATCAACGGTAATCCAACTCACAGGGTGAAATGTGCTGTTAGCAACCACTAAATTAACGGCCTATCGCAATAAATGGTAGCGTTCCGCGGTACCATACACTTATGCACTAATGAGCAATTAGTCCCGGTATCTACTAACATCTCGACTTCACTACTCCACACATGCCCAAGTATGGTAGGATAAACCACCGCATTGGATCGAAAAATGGCACTCACGAGTAGTGACTTACCGGCTTGGGTATGGCTGCAGGCCTATACCGCAGCACCGAATCTCCGACTATATGGGCAGATTAGGTGTGGCTAGGTAGGTTGCAGAGCGATCGAAGGCCAGTTGACTGTTAGCGTGAATCTTTGCGCGTTTGGCCGGTGGTCGGATTCTGGGTGTCTGTACTGCAAAACGAGTGCAACTCCAGGAGCATACTCCCGTTTTTTCTGGCAGTCTCCAGCCAATAGTTCTCCTATCTGCTATCGGTGGGCCGCCACATGTAGTGCTTCTGTCAGTTCGGCTGGCGGTCTCTACAGAAATGCGTGCCGGATATCAAGGTCCGTTGTTCCTTGCAGAGCTTATGTGTGGACCTTCTGTTCACAACCTGTTTGGCTGTCGTTGGGGTATGCGACTAGTGCGTGTTTGCGCAACGCAGCTACGAATATGACAAATCGTTCCCCGACATTTTGCATTCGTTGGTGAAACAACCACTCATACTCGCACTCATGCAGCCGAGCAGTAGGGCAGCCTTATGTCGAGTGGCTGGCAGAACAACCTCCTCGTGGTGTCACCTGGGGGCTCTTGCTTAACGCGTTTCAGTAAATAGTTCGGCTGGGGTGTTCCAGGGCGTGGTGGGTTTCCGCCTATCAAGCGTTTTTCCTGCAGAAGGCCACAAATGTCTCCTTAACAACACTGACGTGGAAGTTGTGACTCACCACAAACTAAACTCA